TTAAAAAATGATCTATGCCCGTTCTTGCAATGTCTGGTTAAAGTGATATTAATTATATTGAAATCTAATTTAACACTTCAATTTGATGAGAATTTTAATATAAGCATCTTTTGTTCAGTTTTATTATAACAATTTCACTAATGACTTCTAACACGTAATTAACTAAAGGTATAATAATAAATACTCACCTAAATACATTATCTATGTGCTGCCTAGAAGAATGTTGTTTTTCAGAATGKGAATAACTTAATTCTGGTACATTTATATTAAACACAGTCAAAGGATTAAGTACACTTGAACCRATTAATATTACGACTGATTCTATATGGTTTTCCACACGACTAATAAATTCATTTTCAATGCACTGAAAATATATATGTATATATATTAGTATATTAAATAACTTCATGAATATTAAGTAATTAAGGCAATTAGAATCAAATCAACCAAAAGTATATAGTAAATCAGTATGTATATACTGTATATATTTCATTTAATCCAGCAAGGTCTTATATTATATTTTAATAGTAATGATTACCTTAAAAACTGTCTCAAGACTTAATATCGCATCTGAAACTTTCTTATAATATTTCTCAGACTCCAGTCTGTATTTATTTTTCAAATTACAGCGATTGCTTTCCAGCTTTAACAAAATTAAATTAATATCTTAATATTTATTAACATCTTAAATTGGATAAAGCATAGTAATTATTAATAGTAACATTTAACTTAAAACACAATTGTTGCACAAAACTCACCTCAAAGTTCAGTTCTTTGTATTTTTGCACATATAACTTCAAACGGTCATAAGGATAAGGAATAAGTTGCTTTTCATAGACCAAATATTTTATAAGGGTTGTAATTAAGCTGGAAAACGATTGAGGAGTCATGATGTCGGATAAGTGAACGCATACATCACAGGTTGCCATGGTAGTACTAATCCAGAGGAGTATTATGAGACACAATGTCTGTAAAATGTATACAATGCCTAATCAAAACGCGATGARACTGATCACAATCTTTTTGACTGAAATCACAAATTTCGAAATCGTATTGAAACTGTATCGTAACTGTTCGCACGGTGATATAACGAAAAACAATTTCGTCTGAAACCACAACACATTTAGAAAGTTCGCGATGACGATATGATTAAATACTAATGACCTAGTTACTTAGAACGATTGACAGGTACCTTAGTAAAGAGGTTAAACGATGAAAATATAAAATATTGCTTCAATAATTAATGGGAATCTGGTAAAAATGTAAAATACATTTAAAATRATCACTTATCAGAAAAACGTTACGTTTTGTTCAATTTTGTAGTCGTGGTGATAATAATCACACTTATTATCAGCGTTGGCAGTTAAACGAGTCACGTTCGCGTACAAGGCAGTCATTTTTCTTCCATGAAACGCGGTGGTCGTCATTATTGGTATGTCCATGGCTAAATAACATGGTATGTTGTTAAAATCCAGATATATCTATAAACCTTGGGAATAAAATCAGGGGTAGGACAC